ACGGATGCAAAAAGGAAGTGCTGCACACATGCTGTGGCCTAGGTTCAACAAAAAGCCAGCCTGAGTCGATCGTAGCCATCTCCTCGCCAGAGAAAGTCATGTACACAGCAGAGGCATTGTAGAAGTCGCCTGGAAGTGTCAGTTGGCTTTCCTCTAACTCAAGCCCCGATCTCTCTTTCACCCGCACGCCTTGGGCAGGCTTCTGCAGAACCCACACGTCTTCGCCACGACTTCTACTGTGTAACCAAAAAGACTCCGAGTTCCCCAGACCCTCCTTCAGGAAGACCAGGCCACCTGTGCAGGGGCAAGTTGTTTGAGGCGCACATTGAAATCTGCAGCTCATGCACACTTGCACTGTGCACTTTTGCTTGGTTCTGACCTTCATATCTGTTCTCGCCATAGTAGCAGTAGCGCCCAGCTAAGAAGTGCTTCGACAAGCTCAGCTCGATACATGTTTTCCGCTCAGCACAATCCGGGACGTGGGCAAAGAGCTGCCCGCGCACCTGCAACGGGTGAGAGGAGGGAGGACTCACATTTTGTTGAAACCTACTCGCGAAAAGTAGCAGCCGAGCGGCCGGGCTGCAGCTCGGGCTCGAGCTTGAGTCGCAAAGGCCCGTGTAGCGAAAACAACTCGTGCTCTGATGGGAGTAGTACGTGCAAGCGATGTCGCTGCGGCAGGCTTGGCGGCACTCGGCAGCCGAGGAAGAGGTCTCAGAAACCTCGTGGAAATGGGGCGGGGTCGCAACAGGGACGAAGCAGGTGTCGTCTTGGGCGTTGAGAAAGAGTTCTGCTTCGATAGAGGAGCCAACACCAAAGGGCAGGTACTGGTAGAGCCCAAAGATTTTGCAAGAGATGCTCAGCGTGGCTCGGGCGTGCGTATCAACCGGCATCACGCTTGCAAGCTCCTCCGATGGGGCGAGCCGCACATACCCTGTCGTCAGGTCCAGCTCGAAGAAAGCAAAGCCATCATACGTTCCCTGGCCGGACACGATGTCCAAGGCTACATTCCCCCCGTCATCGCTCGAGCACTTACCCGTGAAAACAGTGGGGGGCAGGAAGAACAAAGTGCTCCGGCGCGTATGGATCGGCTGTAGCGCGGGTGCCACCTGCCCGACTGTCGCCTCCACGGTTTATTTCGGCGCACTGTAAACTCTGCAGCTCTACCAGCACAAAAGTTCACATGGCCTAATGAGGAAGCAAACGATTAAGCATCTGTAGTCTGTGCACTTGGACGGGGAAACCATGGACATCCTCTTGGCCGTGCAGATCATGCAGACTATCGGAAGAAGGCGTGGGTCTCCTGACATCTTTATCCGACATTCGATATGTTGAAGCCTGCCTTGTGTGGACTACTCTGATTCGTCCCCCGCTCGTAGACCATGCCAACCCACGGTCTGGGGTTGACAGCAACGAAGTATGCAGCTGCCTTCACGGAGCACGCAACCGAACACTCGGAAAGACTACGCTCGCGGGCTCAGGGACTCAGAACACCCTAAATATTAAAAACTCAGATTCAAGCGCACGATGGAGACCCAAGCAGCAAGTAGCTGGACCGTGCATGTCTCACTGACTCCTGGTCTGGTAAACCTACATGCGCTGCGAATTCGTTGATTAGTCCATGTGGCCTTCACGGAGGGCGCTGAAGCCAGGCTGGCATTGGCCAGACAGATGCATCCCATCGAATCAATTGAGCCAAAGCCCGAGTTCCAAGTGATACCGCCGCCGGCATCAGTTCTGGATTTCCACTCGAGCTTTCCATCCTGGCCCAAGGTAAGCCTCGACGTCAATTCGGCCGGGTCGCAGCTCAGTTGGTCGAAGACCCATGAACTGCTGACGGCTGGCATTTGTTCGGTGGCAGCATTCAGAAAGACCAACCTGAGGCTTCGATGTCCGCAGCAAGATCACTAAAGTGCACCATAGAAATGCGAAAGTGGTGGTTGATCAAGAACTCAAAGCAGGGAAAAAGCCCTTGTGTAGTGAACAACTCATTCCGTTCGTTCGCTGTCTAATCGCGCGAACATCTCAACTCCTGTCCATACGTGTTCATGTGAGTGCGACAGTACGGTGCAAAGCATGAGGTTGTTTCAGTGTTGATCGAGTTGATCGAAAGTTTAACCACTGGTTCGGGTGGTAAGGTTGAGTTGGGTCTGAACTTGAGGGAGCAGAGTTCAATGTCGGGGTTTCTTATGAATGTAAGTTTTCCTGGAGTGCCTTTCGTTACTTTTAATACTGCTCGAAGGCTCTTTGCTATACTTATTGGGGTTTTGTAATACATATTGGGGCTTCGGCCTCTTCCTCTGAAATTCGAACTGTTTCTGCTTTCGGGCTTTGAAGAGGGGTTGGACAATGCTGTTGGGCGGCATCGGAGCCATTTCGGCTTCTATTCGGGAGCGAGGCTTTCCTTCTCTTCATGTGCGCCCCCCCCTCACTTACGTATGTGGTCTAGAGTAGATGTGTGTCTGCATGTTAGTGAAGTTCTGCTGAAGCTGGCCACGTTGTCGATGTAGAGATGCCACGCCTGAGCTGATTGGGCAGGTACTATGGATGGCTCTTGGTCTTCTTCACGAGCATCGGGTGGAGCTGTCGTGTTTGGGCCGGTGGTTTTGTTGCCAGTTGGCTTCTGTGCTTACACGTTTTGTGTCTGTACTTGCTGCTGCAAAGTGAGCATCAAGATCAGCCGATTGGATGGGTCTACCAGCTAAGTTGTAAGGCTATAGCTAGATAGGCCGGAGTAACCTTACATGCGGGTTAAATGCTAAAATTTAAGTCCAGCTGTTGGTTTCAATCTCGGTGGCTTTTCCTCAAGACACAGCTGTGGCTTTTGGATTTGCGAGAAAGGGCCATGGATCCGGTTATTCAGGCCTGGCGTTCCAGCGAAGAGGTGATGACACGTCTTGCCACCGGCAGTGGCTCGATTCTGACTGTGACGAAAGCACTGAACCGTGAAGCCGTTGTGGCCAACTCTGTTGTGCTGGGACCTTTGATGAAAACTGTTGGCCCCTTGCCTTGCAAGCATCCCTATCCAGTCTTGGGAACATGCACATATGAGTAAAATGTATACACATGCACACATGCAGTGTCCGAGGTATGAGGCCGACGGTTGACCAGTGCCACGAGTACTTGGCAAGGTTCTACAGTGGCTATCGCCCAGTAAGTCGGCCCATGCCAAGCCGAGACTTGATCAATCTTAATGCATGCATTTGCCTTAAAGCTGGTGCAATCACCATTGTTCAGGAAATGACCTCAAAACTGAGTCTTGGATTCTCAGACGGCTCGTGACTATATTTAGTCGAGCTGCCAAGCGTCCCCATCGTCCCCGCAATCCGCGGTTCCGCCAATTGTTTGTGGACATTGGTTTGCCTGTTCCACAAGGACGATCTTGCATGTGTGCGATGGTACATGCATAGCTAGAATTATATAAGCTACCCGGGAGGTGACGAAGGTGACAGCGCGAGCAGCACCGATGATGACGGCACTGACTCGGATGATTCTGACTCCTCTTCTGATGATGAAGGGGCAGGGCCGGGATCAGAGCCTGTGCCCCCGCAGAATGTGAATGATGCTGCCAAAGTGCTTGTTGAAGCAGAAGGGATGGATGCAGAGACTAGCCGTGACCTGAAGAGAGCACCTCGCCTGAAGGTCTAGCTTATGTATCTGTTGCGACGCACATGTGCAGTGTGTGTGTACAGGTACAATGATCCCGGCATGCATAGTTTATCCCAGGCCATCGAAATGTCTTTGCAATCCGAGCCCGAGCCCCCGATGAAAGTGCTCACGCTTCCACCTGAAGCCTTGAGTGGTGCTGGAGGTTTCTTGATTGAATCTTGAATCTTGAGGGCTTGGGGCTGAGTTTTGTCACATGCATCCCAAGTAGAAATAACCTGCAGTGAGGTAGTCGTGCCTCCTCCGAGCTGTCCCCGACAGAGATCATCACGCCTTCGCCGAAACACCGCTTGCTGGATGCATTTTCGGGGGGTTCATTTGAGAGGTTGTATGCGTGCACGCTTTTAACTTAGGTGATGTGGAGCCAGACTCCCCGCAGACCCCCTCTACAAAAAGAGGGGCTGGCACTACACGGTTAAGGATCGCAAGCTGGGATACCTGTGCCTCAATTGCAACCGCAGTGATATGGATATCGGCAAGTTCAAGCTTGAGCAGTGCCCGGCCGGGCCCACTTTGCGCAAGACTTCTGAGCTCGATCCTGCAACAATTGAGCCTCCCAAGCCTGCAGCTATCCCCTGTGTCACAGCTGATGCAGAGATTGCGGCTGCTCTTCAGCTAGAGCAGCAGGAGCTTGAGAGGCTACAGGTGTTACAGGATTTGATCGCTGAGCAGAAGCAGCTGGAGAGCCTGCTCCAGCAGATGGAGGCCCAGGTTGCCGCGAAGAAGCAGGACCTGCCACATGTTGCAGCCCCGCCAGCTGTATGTTCCTTGTCCGAATATCGATCTTATCATGGCTGACACATACTGCAGATTGATGTTGCATAGGCACACGAGTGGTAGGTAGGTGGATGTGTGAAAGTGCTGGTGTGGTGGGGTGGTTTGTTGGTAGGTGGATGGATGGATGGATGGATGGATGGATGGATGGATGGATGGGTGGGTGAGTGGGTGTGGGTTGGGTTGGGTTGGGTTGGATTGGACTGGATTGGATTGGATTGGATTGCATGGGATGGGTTGGAAAATATTTTCGGTGGGAGCCAAGGTCTAGATAATGTGGATACGTGCCCCATGGACATCATGGATATGCCGGCGAAGCTTGTGTCCGAGCCACTGCAGTCTGTAAAGGCTGAAGAGCTGCAGGAATCCAGTGCTGCCACAGCTTGTGTTGTTAAGCGGGATGCGATCACGGCTGCTGATGTGAGGGCTGCAATGTCATTGGAGCCCCTTCCCACCCCAGCAGCTGAACCCACGGACCTGCCAGCTGCAGAAGAAGCCATCGTATCGTGGCCTGTGCAGATAGAGTGTGGCATGTCGTAGCATTGCATGAACTGCTTCAGCACTTTAGCTATATATGCTAGCTAAGGCAGACGTGCTGGGCAAGTGCCCAATGGATCCGAAAGACGCCACATTCTTGTCCCCCTCCGAGCAGACTTCGCATCTTGGGTCGGGTGGAAAGGGCACGGAGGAGGAGGAGGAGGATGCGCCTGTGAAGCCTGGCAAACGCAAGCCGGGGAGGGGACGTGGAAAGGGCAAAGGCAAGGGACGGGGCAAGCAGGGCAAGGGTCGTGGTCGTGGCTTTAAATTAAAAAGCGCCAAGGAGGTCACAAGAAGCCAAAAGCAAAGAAAAACAAGAAAGCCAAGGCCGAGGTAAAGGAGGTAGAAGAGGCAGGGGAGGTTGAGGATGTTGGAATGGAGGGGGAAAGCGATGCAGGCACGGATTACTACGATCCGGATGCTGCACCGAGTGATGTTGCAATGGCGCCATCGAAGTTGAAGAAGAAGGGAAAAGCAAAGGCCAAGGCCAAAGCCGGTGCCAGTGCAAAAGCCAAGGAGGCCACGTACAAGGCAAAAGCCAAAGCAAAAGCAAAGGCCAGGCCCAAGGCAGCAGCAAAGGCAACAGCAAAGGCAGCAGCAAAGGCGAAAGCGAAGGCAGCAGCAAAGGATCCCAAGAAGTCTGGCACGGCAGAGACAACAGGATCCAAGAAGAGGACAAACGAGGAGCAGAAGAAACGCCTGAGCCGCAAAAGCTGTGCTTACCATGCTGCTAAAAGGCTGGCTTTAGAGGAAGGAAAAACGGCAGAGGAAGCCAAGGAGATGGCTAAGGCTGTTTTTTGCTTGCAACATAATCCATGCATGATTGGTTCAAGTGTTTCTGCTTGCACGTGTGTGTGCAGTCTGTGTGTTTGTGCGAGTTTGGGGGATGCGTCCTGTGCTTTGCAAAGCCTGGCATCTCAGGCTTACCGAGTTCAGGAGTGATGTGGTTTGGCATCTGGCTGGGGACTACATGCTGGATTGGTTTTGAGCTGCTGATACGACCGAGCAGCCGGTGCTCACGGATGGTTTTTCACAAACTCGATCTGTTTGTGGGGGTTTAGGGGTGCTGCTGCCAAATGTGCATCAGTGGAGCAGTGTGTGAACACGCTGTCTTTATCAGTCTTCAAACATATGAGTGCATTCAGGGGCTGCTCAGACTCACAGAGAGCCAAGCGACAAAAGAACTGAAATCGCACGCTGCATCTGCTCTCTCTGCATGTCACAGATCCACTGTCGTCTGCACATATATACATTCAGTGCACATTGTAGCTGCTTCGAACCACTCTGCCAGGATGCCTCGTGCGACTGATCGAGTCGAAGGCTGGGCGGTGAGGGCCTCCATTGCAGGTGCACCCCCGCTTTGCTTCGTATGGTCATTGCACAGGCTCTCATGAATTCGTTGTGCAGCTATGTAGGCGAATGCAGCTAACCGATAAATGCAATAAGAGTTCCTGGATCAAGGGCTTTGGCTCCGCTGCAATCCGCAAGCCATGGCTAACATTTCGTTAGTTGTCAACTCGGTGCAACTTGGGGCGCCGAAGGACAGAGCCTCAGAGCCTGAAGTACTTGCTATATGCACACCCCATGCATGTCGATCTTGTCAGAATACACAACAACTCGACCGATCCTAGGTTCTCATGGCGACAGCTAGACGCCCAGAGCCACAAGCCCCATAATGAACCCCTGCAAACGGCCTTCCCCAGGTTCTCTTGCTTCTGTGGACGGAAGGCCTGACTTTTGACAATGGCTTTCAGTTCTTGGAGATGTTCGCTGGGGAGGGCAATGTAACAAAAGAATGGCTGGGTGCCTACTACGGCTTTGTGTCTCACGTGTGTAGGATGTCGTGCAATGTGCTGAGGGCTGTCGGTGTTCTCGGTGCAACTTAAGGCACAAGGCTGGCTACAAGACCGGGTCTTTTGACGTGCTGTATGGGGAGTCCATGAACATATTGCATAATGCTGGTATGGGGCTGCTTGCATGATCAGAAATAAGTATCGATCGGTATCTAGCTGCATTACCCATCTATTCCTCTGCTGAGGCTTGCCTTATGGATGATCATGAATCAGTGCCCGGATGCATTATTGCTGGCAGGGCCGGATTGCAGCAGCTGGTCTGTCTGTTCTCGCTACGTGAGCATGCGAAATTTTATCAACGTGACCGGCAACCCTGCCAGAGACTTTGTGGATAAAGGGAATGTAATGGTGAGCAGGAGACTTGGCTAGATGTACTGCATGCATGCAATGCTAGCTGAAGTACTAGACTGCCGTCGAAGCTATACATATGTGTGTGCAACTCAGGACCGTGTGCCTCTTGTTGGTGAGCCTGGCAGCACATGGTACATTCTGCCTCGAGCAGCCTATGCAATCACTTCTGCACAGACACTTTCGTTTCGAGTGGCTTGCAAACTCCGTTGCAAGAGTTCCTCGGTGGTTATTTGCTCGATGGTGTTTGCTGTGCAGAGCCCTCCAGCCTCCAAGCATAAGTAGCCGCCGAGGTGTACAAGGTCAACTTCTGGATGGGCCTGCACGGGGCTCCGTCGCCGAAACCCACCGTCGTGTATTCGACCATGTCTACTATCGAGGGTCTAGATTTGGGGAAGATGACCAAGCAGAAGCGAGAGGAGTGCAGCAAGATCCAGACGGTTCGTGCATTGATTGCAATTCCGAATCCAGTGCTTGTGGCATGGATACAGCTATCACGCCATATTTGGCATGCATGCATAGCAAAGCCGAGGAAGAACAACAGTTGAGGGTGGCCGATCCAAGTTCACCGGAGTGGCCGGTCTACGTCTTTCGGAGTGGCTGTGCAGCACTGGTAATTGCCATGTGTATATGCATTTGTGTTTGCATGTGTTGGCCTAGGGTCTATTCTCCGGAGTTTGGGTCCAACCTGCTGCGATGCTATGAATCCTGGTTGGCTCTGCCTCCCCTGCAACGTGTCGATCTTCGCTGGAAGAGAGAAGTAGATCTGTCCTTCTCAGACAAAGAAATCTTTTCCAATCTGAGTTGCGAAGATGAGTGGGTTGAGAGTGGGATGCACATGATCTTTGAGTACCTCTACAACAGCGCAAGAGCCCGGCCTCTTGTCCCAAATCAATATATCACGACAGTACGATTAGTCGAGTTGCTGCCAGCTGTATATTGCACTCTGCAGGATTCCGGACTCATGGGTACCAACTATGGCTGCCTACGCCAAAGAACTTTGTGAGAGGGCTCCCTGTCAGCAAAGAACATGTACGACACGTGTCATCAAATTCTCGAAACGACTTTTGATCTGAAGCCCAAGCTGGCTTTGCCATTTACATTAAACCGCCCTAGGCCCTAAACCCTAAGCCCCTATTAGTGATGAATATATAAAATGCAATATAGCTATCTAGCTAGCTTTGTACTAGTAATCGAAATTAACTATCTCTCTGTCTCTCTCTTCTTCTTGCTCTCTCGTTGCACACATGCCTACCTGCCTTCAAGACATG